CTACTAAGAATTACTTTCACTAAGATGTCTTTTTCCCCACACCGTACGTGTCATCTCCAACAGCCACGAGGACTAGATGTAAGACAGTGTTGCATCTTTCAACCCACTTAAGAGCTTGGACACCTTGTCTGGTCAGCATGTGTAGCAATGCAAACTTAGACATCTGCTATCGAGACCCAGTGCGCGTGCACAGGCAGTTGCCATAGATCAGCTTGTATGTGATAATTTGCTAAGCTGTAGTAGCTTGACCATTACACCACAGTAATTTCACTACATACGTCAGCCCTAGCATTCAACACTCGCTCTAAGAATAAGAAAAGTTACAGTGAGTAAACCAACGTATCTACGTGAATGGTCATGGCTCTGCAGCAGTCTTGCTTCATGCTTTTTCCTTTTGCACTTTTGTCTTACATATGCAATATATTTTGCTACTTTAGGTACTGGTTGACATCAAGAGCTTTTGTGAAACCAAGAGAAGCGGCAGAGTTCTTTAAACTTGTAGTTTCTTCCCTCCAATGCAAGTTCAGCCTTGTTTAAGCTTATGCTGTTCCTCATCCACAACTTCCTCCAGAGTTGTCCATAAACTGGTACCAAGTGCTCCAGTCACTAGCTTGCTTGCTACTGACGGTAAGCATATGCTTCTACAATCATCCAGAGTCTCAGGCTGTCCTCCTATCGAGGCACACAATTGCCATAGCACCCAATATGTCAGCACGTCCCTTACCTTTCTGCCTGTTTACGTCTTCCCCATCTTTTTACTAGTCCAAGAGTTTGCTCATCATTCCTTCATGACTTAGACCGGAGAACATTTAAACATCAAAATAATGCCTGCTATGTGTTCCATCCCTGTGAAGGTTTCTACATAAATTGTGCAGCAGTTAAAGGAGGATCCTGCAATCCATTCCAGAGCTATTGATCCATGCTGTGATCTTAAGACTATTTTTTAATTGCCCACCTCAGCTACTTTACTCTGTACTGGGAATATTACTTCTGTTGAACAAGGATGACGCATCAAGTGTTTTGAGATCCCCAGAGCAGAGAGACTAACACTGGAAGGTTCAGCAGGAAAAAGTAGTAAGGATCTCTGGTCCCACAGCTCTATGTGTGCTGTAGAAAATGGGTACCATCACTTCCAAGCTGTAGAGTTGAAGTTGGGTTCTTGTTCCCTCACCTTCAGATCCGCAATTTGCATTCATTTTTAGTTTATTTTATTCTGGATTCTCTGAGGACATGATATCTGTGATTATTGCTGATTAATTATCAACTGTAAAGTAAAACAACCTGCTGAAGATCATCAGGTTCTGGTGCATGAGATACCCCATGGCTGGTCATGAGACAGGGAACCAGGTTACCCAACCCACAAGGGATTGCTCTCCACAGCTGTAGACAGGGAATATACCCACAAGCATGTGTCTCTTCATGAGACCCTCATGAGAAAACACACTTCTTGGATGTAGGGTAATGCTACAGCCTCTCTCTCTCGTCTTGGGACTCTTTGTAGCAGAGCACCACTCACACCGAGTCTCCCACCATAGTCAAAAAGCGTGGAGCATTGTGCTGCTGTGTGCAACACGGGCCTGCAAGTGCCGCAGCGAGGCAGATGGAAGGAAGGACCATTGGCAATGTGCAAGGAGCAGGGAGTGCTGAGCATGATAACCTCCAGAGCTGCAGCTCCTCTCCCTGCATTATTGCTGGGTCCTTTGGGGACTTGCTCCTAAGACAGTCTAGAGCAACAGCTACAGTCAACCTCAAACCTACAGCCATCTACAAAGCTAACCCTTCATCTCTGCTCCCGTCTGGTATAACCTTGGCAGGTCTAACACCAACCATGTCCTGGTTTGTCTCTTTTACCTTCCTGATGTGCACTTAAGACTTACCCAGGTATGCAGAGTTCCAGCAGAAGCCCCACAATTTCCATTTCTTACCAGTTTTCCTCTTTATATCTGGCTCCCTTTCCCAGTTGCCCATCAGAGACAAGTCTGGAAGACAAGGCCCAGCCTTTGGAGAGCTGAGCTTCAAAAAATGGCAAAATCATGCCAATTACTGCTAATGAAGTGCCTCCCGTGAATCAGATTAAGGCTACCCTTGAGGTTAACTCCAGGATCAGTAGTAAGGAAGGAAAGCTGAATCCAAGGTAGGAAGTAACCTTAGATCTCTGGGATCAGCACTTCTAATCAGACAAAATTTTCTGAACCTAAATCGGTGCCCTGATCCCTCCCCAGGGCTGCTGTCTACTGCAGCTTCTTCAATTTCTTTTCTTTCTTGCTGGCTGCTTTGTAAAGAGTAGAAAGAAATCCTGCAGTTGAAAATGGAGATCTTTCAGTGTCAAGTATTACAAATTCCTACCTCTTTGATTGTCCCAGGAGCCTCTACACAAGACCCCGCCATGCTGGCCAGAGTTTCTTTCTCCCTTAGTTCACCTGTAGCAGTTCTGGGGTTGGAGCACTGGATGCCCCATGGCTAGTCCCTGCACCACGGGAGAAGGGTGGCTGTCACAAATTGCAATGACGTGTGGCCGGGTGGTGCTGAGTATCCAAGGCAGCTTGGAAGAGACCAGCTCAGACAACAATCCTCTTCACCACAGATGGGTTCTGAATAGGATGCCCCTGGGAGACAAAGCACTCCAGACACGGCGGGAAGCATCCTTCATTAGGAAGAGACTAAAATATGGTTTGTATTGCACAAATAGACAAGTAATTGGAGAGCAGCTCCAGCTACAATTCACTCTGTGGTATCCATTACAGCTGTGTTTGAACAGCACTTTCATGGGCTGAGAAGGGAAGGGCACTGCAGGGAATCAGATGTGCCTGTCCGGGAGATGGTTTTTTTTTTTCCTTTAGAAATGAAGTGTTTTCAGCTTCTGTCAAAAAGCTATTGCCAATTCAGATCAGGGCCTACATTCAGATACAAGGCAATGAGGGTGTTTTGCTAACAACCCTTCTGAAAGGTCAGTAGCAGGTTTAGACTCTATGATTTGCTGCACCACAGCACATCGTAATGTGAAGTTCATTAGCAGTGAGCCATTGTTGACCTCTGATTTCCTAAGCCATAAGCCAAGAGAAGAAATACTGCTTGTTGGTACGTGTGACCCTACCATATCATCACTGCACTGGGACCACAGGAGTTGAAACAAGTTCAGCCCCATTTCAGAGATGGGGAACTGAGGCACACAAGAACTAAGTCTCATTGCAGATCCAGTCCTTAGGTACCTTGTTTGTCCAACATTTAGCTCCTATGGAGGCCATCAGGTCCTTGTCCTGTTTCTATCTGAATGGTCACTCCAGAGAAGTTTCTTCTACCAAAGGCAGGTATCTGTAAGGCTGTTTGACCCAGACTCTCCCATAGATGTTGAGGATCTACTCAACAGTGGAGCTGAGGTTGCAGTTCACCTCATCTGAAGTACTAACCAAATCACCACTAAATCACATAAGGAAACCTCACATCATCTTCACAAGATAAGGCTCCTGTGATTATAATTCAATTTTTTTTCACCTGTTTTCCTGTTTCCCTCTTACACTTCATTTTTAGAGCCTTTTCAGGAGCTGGAAACTAGAGTGCTGTTTGTGTTGCATCACACACACTCCCCTCTTTACCCATATCCCTTCTCTTTTTGTAGACATGCAGGACATTATCACATCTTTTCTGACCCTTGATACAGTACAAGCCACAGAATTTAATTCAAAGACCTCCTTGTTAGCCTGAATAACTTAACTGATTAAGATGTGCTTTTCTGAATGACAGCCAGGCTTAACACAACATCTACAAGACCATTTAAGAGTAGGTTTCTTTAGTCAAACTTGTCATTAGTGACTCAAAATCTGGAAGCAAGATGGCTTAGAAAAGGTACTATTTATAAATGAAGAAAAATACCAGAACTTTCTCAGTTATGTTTTTACATTTCATTTTAATTCATTACTAATTCATTCAAGACTTCTGTTTAATGGAGAATACCACTAAAAAAATTTACATCCCCAAAACAATTACAAATTGAAAGAAAAAGTACACTTACAGCTAGGGAAAGCCCATTTAATTGTAAAAATAAAGGTATTTTTAAGGAACTGAGGCATTTGGTATCATGTGTCCTACTTAAATTATTTTCCAGATCACAATATACATAAATATGTAGATATGCATGAAAGTACAAAAGGAACCTGCAGGCTACAACATAAGAAGAAATGAAACAGCACCACCTTGCCACTAGGCAGTCTCATGGTTTACTCATGTTAAGGAAAAAAAAAAAGTGAGAGAAGCCAGGACCTTCCTCCTGGACTCACAACACAACTGGATTATCTCTACACATTTAATCTGTTCTCAAGTAATGCAAGGGCTCTCAGCAAATACAGGTTGCCTAATTTCTTCATTGCAAACAACTGTTCATTACTGTTATTTATATATATATATAAAAAAAGCAACAGGATCCCTGCTCTAAGCTTTAATCTCGACTCCTTGATGCTATGTTGCTTAATCTCCCTACGGTATATTGTCCTTTTGGCTATGAATCTCTCATACTGCTGGAGCTGTGAGAATCAGAGCTCTGCTACAGACCTGGAGCCTCTAGCCCAGAATGACTTGTTCTGAGCCATTTTTCCTTGCATTTCAGGAAATCTGACATCTGTGCTTTCTACTATTAACTTTACAGGTTTAAAGCAACATGATTGAATCCCCAGTACTCAAATGCAACTGAAATATCCATCTAATTCAGATTTGCTGCTTTGACAACTAGACAATATGCTGTGTGGGAATTACTGCCCACACATCGTGTTGCTTTTCACGGATTCTTCAATCCTCATTCCCCAGTGATAATGGGATTTAAATCAAGTGTCCTTTCTGAACTTATAAATGAGTGCCAGTATCTGTCCCTGTATCAAATCCGCATGGCATTTCCCTTTTAAATATCTCAAAGCAAAAGTAGGGAAGCAGCAATGTTCCTCTGTTACCAGTGGAGAAACTGAGGCACTGGGTGCTCATACAACAGGAGGCAGACAGTGAAAGGTGTAGATATGAGGCTTCCTGATTTTGTCCAATATCTACAGGTGAGGACGCCACTGCTGTGACATTGCTATGAAGTCTAGTGCCATGCGAGATGCCCTACAGTATCTGAGCTGGCATACGTGACCCAGTGCAAAACCTGTGCCCTGCTGGGTGGGCAGATGGAGGACACTCCACACCACCTCGACTGTATTTAAGAGGTTGAATCCTGCCCCCGCTCACATCTTTAAAGCCAAGGAGCTATGAAACACCACCAGAGAACTGCAGATCACTCGAGTTTCTGAGTCCTCCTCCAGAGGAGCATTCCCTGTCTAGAAAGGGGGGTTAAGGCAACATCAGAGTGCAGATGTCCAGAGCTTGGACACAAGCCCCCAGAGAGGTACATGCCTGGAAGAGATGCTCCACAACAGGACATCTGGAGACAAGATTCACACCTTTTCTCGTAGCAGACCCAGAGCCAGCCCTGCCTGTAGGGCAGAGCAGCCAGGTTTGGCCAGGGTTATCTCTGCCCAACAGACAGATCCTCTCCTCCCACAGCAGCTCTGGTGAGGCCCATGCAGAGCAGACACGTTACCTGGTCCCTTCTTGCCCTGCTCCTTCAGGCAGTGGGGTAGCTGTAGGCTACGGCAGTTACTAAGCAGTTAAAGAAGGTGGGAACCAAGTGTGCGCCATGCCCTAGCCCTCCTCACAGGTCCTACGAAGTCTGAGCAGAGAAAAAGGGACCGGTGTGGGGTCAGAAAGGGAACGTGCACCAAGAAGGGGAACAGACCCAACAGCTTTCAGCACCAAAATTTCAGTCTGAGCCAGGGAAGCATCTGTCCCATTCTCCTGGCAGGTCGTACAATATAGCATGAAGACAAAACCAGAAACAACCAAACTCAAACATCAGCATCGACTGCTGTCTCACACACAATAATTTCTGCCCTATTTGATCTAGCAGTTCTTCTGCAGTGTTTCTCCAGGGTTCAGGAGAAAGGCAGAAATTACTCTCCAGGCACCCCGAGCATCCTTCTCCTGGGGGCTGGGGCCAACTGCAAGGTAGTGCAACAAGGGGTGACCCCCATCCCGTAGGAGATGCTTTAAGCCAAGGCTCTAGTGTTTGGCCCCTGCCTGTGCCTGGCCGCGGGCTCTGCCAACCCTTGAATATCCCCCATTACTGTGGTCTCTGGCTCCATTACTATGAATTACTGGGCTCTCTGCTCACCTTCCCTGGATGGTGGGATGGGGTCGTGCTGGTGAAGACCCCTGTCCTGCTGTTTGTGTTGTCCCCCTCAGCTCCCCATCCTTAGGGAGCAGCTGGCTCTCACCATTTAGCTTTTTTCCTCCTTCCCTTCTCATCTAGCCTTAGCAGAGCAGATAACACTGCAGTGCAACTTGTGGACAAGTCTTTTCAAAAAAGTAAAAAAAGCCATGTCGCATTTTGCAGCTGAATCTTAAAAATATCTTTTAAGGATAGGAATGCAAAGTATAAGAAATTTCCTCCTGACCCCGGGAGACGGACTCTCTAGGAAAAGCTGGGAATTTAAGAAACAACAGAAAAAGATTTGCTTTGTAATCATGAAAATCGGTAACGCTTCAGATAAATTTCAAAATGGCAAAAGCTTTACATACAAACTTTTTATTGAAGTCTCTATTCCTCAAAGATTTCCAAATTGTTGGGGGGGGCTGTAAACTGGGGTCTACCATCTCCTGTGCTATTGGCATCTTTCTGACTGTTTTAGGGACCCTTGCAAATCTTAAACCACATTTCTCTCTTTTTATTTCTTTTCTTCTCCCTCTTTCCCAGGCCACCACAGAACCCCCAAAAAAGAAACCGGACCCTGTCACTTCAGAGACGGTGGTGATCTGGGGGCTGCGCCTCTGGCAGGTGATTGGTATCTTTGCCATCTTTGTCCTGGCAGTCAGTAAGTCATAATTCTCTGCCTTGCACCAACCACAGCACCACCCCAAGTAGGACGGGTTCCTGGAGGAATACAGACCAGATGGCCGTGGTGGTCGCAGGCTGAGGCTCTTTGGTCTCTGGCATCACAAGGCTACACACTGAGGGGGTTTTGCAGCAGGGAAAGGCAGGTGGGATCCTTGAAGGAACCACAGATGGTCCACCACGGCTTCATCTTGGAATATAGTGATGATCAACAGGTCCTAGCTGGTGGCATCCCAGGGAAGAAATACTGTAGGGCTGTGCCACAACTAGGACTGTGTTCAGCTACAGTACCACATTCAAGCCCAAACGCATGTTATAGCCATGGTCCTGCCCTGTCGCACAACCGTACAAACTGTATGGGACCTCCTGTGGTGCTGTCCCACATGCTGCGATAAGAAGTCTCAGGAGGTCTGCAGTCACAGCCAGACCTGGCGTTAAGGTCCCTAACTCCAATTCTGGGTGCCAAGACCTTCAACTTGATTCTAGCAGGGCTTTCAAGACTTAAAACCCTCCTTTTTTTGGACCCAGGCACTGGGAAGCCACTGGCTTAGACCAGGTGATTGCAGGGGGATGGGATCAGACACTCTCCCAACACACTTTGAGGACCTATCTGGGTATGGCCAATTCCCCACCAGAGTGCCTTTGTCCAGTTTCATCCCCCTGCAGCTCACCCTCTGGGAGAAGTGTAAGCCAGCTCCACTGTGCATTGCTAACTACTATCATGAGCTTCCTTACGAAAATATCACTTAGGACACTATCAATCAACCCCAACAAAATTCAAAGGAAGGATCTTCTGCTCTTTCCTTCAGCCAACTATAACTTCAGGCAAAAAAACAGACCAGTTTGATGCGAGTCAAATGTGATAAATCAGTTTCTTTCCCATCTTCTTGTTACTGTCTAGATTTTTGCAAAGTCTATAACTAATTCATTTCTTCCAACAAAGTTACACTGACTCATCGACAATTCCCTTGAACGTCCTCTTTTTCATGTTAGGGACAGGTGAGCAGAGGGACAGAGCCTGTCCCCAGTCCCTGAACGTAAATCCCATCAACTTGGAGATCACCTCAAATCCTTACCCACTCCAGGAAGGACATCATCCAGCCATATAGACTGAGATACATCTAAATCTTCTAGGCATTTCTTACCGTTCTCATTCTGGCTTGTGGCCCTAATTGCTTGTTAAAATTAACTTTGTAAGTAAAACAACGAAGCATTTTAAAGCAGCTGAAGGAAGGTCTTGAGTGCCTTAGCTTTCTCCTGCATCACTTCTGCTCTCATTCCTCATAAGCGATGAGCACTCTCCAAAACAGAGTGGCCACATGCAAGCTCCTGGGGGGAACAGCCACATCCAGTGCCAACCCTGACCTACAAGCAGCCGTTGTTTAGAACATGGGTTTGCTGGGCCAGCTCTAAAAACACAGTATTGCAGACAACTGATTTCTGGTGCTCCCTGTTACTTTTCAATTTGCTGCTAAAACCCCTTCTGGATGTAGCCCTAATCTAATCAAAGAGCCCAGCACTCTGTGTGGCGTTGGCTCTGCTGATATTGGGGGAATGAAGTCACTTCTTGGTGCCACAGCCACCTCTTCGGCTGCTGTAGGTGGCCTCTATCAGTCCTTCCCTGATAGCCCTCCTGTTATGTTCCCATGCTCTGTTTAAACCAGCCATTCACATTTTCAAAGCAAGTACAAGCGTTTTCCTCTGTTTTCTTTTCCCCTCATTGCCCTTTCTGGGCAAACACCTCATCCTACACCCAAAGTCTGAGGGGTAACTACTGCAACTTGCCTACTCTCCATCAGTGAAGCTTATGCTAATTCATCACATGCCACAACACCCTTTGCAAACAATCACATGAAACTCCACCGAGCAAAGTAAACATGGCCAAATATTTAACCCTAGTGACTCCATACACCACGTGAAATAGGCATCAAAATTAACAGCAGGAGCTTTAGAATGCAAGTAGACTGGTGAAGGGGTTTATGTAGCTTGTTTTCCTTGGCTCAGGGGCATCAAATTGCAAAGAAATTTTTGCCCCAGTAGGTCTGACTGTTCTGTTGTTCATTAGAAATTGGCTCTGGCAATACCAGCTTATTTAGGGTTAGAAGCATGGAAAAGCTGCCATGCTGGCAAACCAACACATGAGATTGTGCACTGCTTGTGGAAGAGAAACTAAGGTTTTTTTGGTTACCTAAAAATATCAGTAGCAAGATTCAAACACCCATGAAAATTTACTCATCAAGTGACAGTGCAGAAATTAAATGTAGTATAGAAAACAACATATAAAGAAAGTTACAGCCTAGTTATTTAAAGTGCTGAAAGCAGTGAATTATGAGAAACTAAAAAACTTGTAAGGATCTGTGTTTAGACAAGCAAACAAATAGGTTATGTGCAATTCAGTAACGTCTGCTTTAAGGTTTGAGTCCCCACTAACACACACAGGTAGTTCAACAAAATCAGACCATTATGTCAGCCTGCTATAGATATGTATTACTGGAGGAGTAGGAAAGTATTTGCTAGGAGATCACAGGGTTTTGAGTTGCTGAAACACAGAGTGATAAATAGATTCAATGCATCACAGCATGTGATGGAGCCAGTTTATGGCTCTACTGCTCTGTTACAGCCTTTTTGTTTGAAGAAGCTTTCTTTCAATGAGCAGAGGGGATTGGAAAGCAACTGTACCAGCTCAGCTTTACGAAAACAGCAAGTATTTGGTGAAGACAGCAACTATTAACCAAGCCTGTGATCCAAGTCAAAACAAGGCAGGTTTAAACTTAATGACATTAGAATAACACAATTGTACAATCGGTTCTCACCAATTTCTCACATCTTGCTCCAGCAACATCGTCCTCCTCCTTTGCTTTGTGATCCCCAAAGCACTGATGGTTCCCCAGCTTTACCAACAAAGCTTTAACTCTCAGGAGCAGACACAGGTTTTACTGTGAGCGAGCTCTTGGAAGCTGCCTTGGTATCAGTCCACAAAACTAGGCGATGTTCTACTTCGCTAATGGGACAAGAGCTGGAGAAAAGCTTTAGTGTGGCTTTCTTTTTCTGGTTCCAGGAGCACCTTCCCAGGCAGAGCAAGAGGGTAGCACAACCTTCTAACAACACTAACCCTCTACACTAGGAGACAGAAGAGCATCCTTGCTGGAGCTTCTCAGGGTCTGCAGGTGATCCCCTTGGTTTGCTATCTCACCTTGTTATCAAGGCTTTGAGGGTGTGTCTACTTTGTCACATGCATTCAGGTGAGGAGTAAATAAGGATGAGGAGAGATGCTTTTAAAGCTAATGCCCCTAGCTACTTTCCTGTAGGTGAATGTGGAGCACTTGAACTGGATTCCTTTCAGTTGAAATGGAAAGAGAAGGTAGTTGCTCCAGAAAGGCATGGTCCCAGATATGCGTGATAATTGCTAAGGGCAGCCCAGGACCAAACTAGAGTACCCCACCTGAAATACACCCAGCATAGACCACAGATCCTCTACGCTCTTCCAGCCCCAAAACCTGCTCCTGCTGAGTGACAGGACTTGCAAATATGGGTATGATCTAGGTGTGGTTTCTAACTCTTGCTTTTAGCAGCTTCCACAAGATGGCATCATCACATAATAAAAGGCAGAAAAAATGGCCAAATTCAAAAGTCTTTTACATTTCCTTATTTAATGAAAAAACCCACCAAACAAAAAAACCCCCTACATAAAGGCATCTTATATGTCAACACAGACCACCGAAATGGGAAGAAAGTCTCTGGGGAGATCTTCTGACTCATAAAAAGGTTTTGGGGCAGGTTACAAACCAAAGGGGGCAACTCCTAGCTCTACCCAGCAGAGACCAGAAGAGATGAAATGTTTGCACCCCTGTTAGCAGAAGGCTTTTCTGTCTCTCCTGCAACAACTGCCAGCCAGCTTTCTCAGATACCATATGAAAGCATCTCTCTGTCAGACCCACCCATCTCTATCTTTTTCCTTTGTTTCTGCTCTGTGATAGGATATGTCGCAAGAGAAACAAAACTTTGGGAGTAAACCAGCCCACAGTAGAAAATATAACTTAGTAGCACATGCAGAGCATCGATCAGGTGATGCTGGAGACTGATGGATGTGTGTATCATTACACAATTCTTACTCATCTACTAAAATACCAGGAATGTCAAATCTTTTTGCTACAACTGGAGAAGGCACATGAGAGCTCATTTTTGAAGCAGACACAACCTCTGCAGGGAAAAATCTGTAAAGAAAGGGAAGAAAAAGAAAGTTTCTCAGGTACAACACATAACAGGTCAACTCACTGTTGCTCCTTTGCCCCCAAGATTTTAGCTCAGTCATTTTGTCCTTGGTTAAAGGAAACCTTCCTTTTTGGGTATTTGAATCAGGTAAAGCAAGGCAGGCCATCAGGCTGGTGAGTGTCCCAACAGCGTGCCTTGAAATCCTTATCAGGGCTGCCTCGCAGCACCCAGCATAATTCCATAATTCAGCTCCTCTGGATTGCTCCTCTGAGCGCTGGTCGATAAGAGGCGAGACCCCTTGCAGGCAGGAGCAGAGGCAAAGGTTCACCTGTCTGTCTCTTGGAGAGACTTTGATGAGACAACAACAGACAACTAAAATGAGATTAGCTGTCAGGAGGATTTGATTCACTCAAGAGCACCGCTATCTGGTTTCTTGGTCACCCTTTTTTGCTGCCTTTTTTTTTTTTTTTTTTTTTTTTGTTCTGTGAAAGCTGTAAATAGGGAACTGAGGCCCAACAATATCACCCTGGTGGGATGGAGTTGAGTCATAACCTTGGCATCTTGCACAGCCTGTTTCATCCACAAAGACTGAGGACTTTGCACCAGAAGTATTACCCTTTGCAAACTGCAGTGCTGTGATGGCGGAGGGGGTGGCCCTGACCCATCCCTAGGAAAGCCAGCAGCTGGCCCAGGGCTTGCCCAGCGTGCTCTCCATCGACTCCCCCTTTTCTTCGGCATAACAACCACCATCAACACTTTTAAGCAGCT